GAATGACCCAAGGGAGGGCAGGGCAGGTGACTGGGTGACCTGGAGGTGAAGGGACAGCAGACAGAGGCTACCCTAAGTGACCAGTAGGAATGTGCTGGGAGGGAGGGTTCTGGAATGTCATCCTCCTGTTTGTCCCTGCCCAAACTAGGAGGTCTGCTCCTGGAGAATGTTCTGGTGTCCTGAGGGCCAGAAGTCTGTGTGCAGTGACTGACCAATTGGAGCTTTCTCCAGAGAAGGCAGGGCCATGGATTGTCCAAGCCTGGCCCAGACCTTGTAGAAGGACCATGTGGGAAAGGCCCAGAGGGGAGTGGGGAGGTGCCGCGTGGTAGCCCCAGATGTACATCTGTTGGGTTGTTGGAAAAGCCGTGATGCATTTTAGCATAGAAAAACATGTCATGACTTTTCTGATGACCTTATAGTGGAAGCCCCAGGCCTGGGTCTCCTGTGAAGGGCAAGGCGTTGCCAGTGTCAGGCATCTGCCAGGGGCACAGGCCTGGGAGGTAGAGAGGGCGCTCCAGGCTGATTCCAGGGCTGGCCTGTGAAGAGCCTGCTGTCTTTGAAGTCATTCCCAGGGGGTTGGAAGCCACAGGCTGGGAGAGGCCCCAGCTGTGGACCAGGGACTCCTGCTTGCATTCGGCTGGTTTCGCTTCACGTGGCACTCCGGCTTATCTCCCTACTGTCATCTGTGTCCCGTCAAGCCTTGTTCAGGAGCTCTAGCCTGGACCTGTGGGCTAAAGGGGAGCCCAGGGGAAGGTGGGGAGTGCGTGGTAGGGCCAGCATCAGGGTGGCAGGGCTGGTGGAGAAGGACACCCAAGGTGGGCTGAATCTCAGGGACTCTGGGTCAAGGTGCTTGTGGGACAACAGGGGCAGAGTACCTGAGGGTGGCATGGCCAGGTGGCCAGGCAGTCAGCAGCCGGGCTCACTGCTGAGAGGAAGGGACATGCTCAGGGGTACGGGCGTGCTGCTCTGCACCTGCAGATTCTCCTTCCTTTCTGTTCGAGGCTTTCCTCACAGGAGTAGCTGTGAGTGGGACCCCAAGGCCACTGGAAACAACCAGCGCTGCCCCTCCCAGCAGTCCTAGCGTGGTCTGCAGTGCCACCTTAACAATGCCACTGCTCCCTGACTTATTTCTGGTAACTTCAAATCGACTTCCCAGCCGTCGGAGCCACCGGGTCTCCCCACTTCATAGGACTCGTCTTATTTCTCCGAGAAAAGTGGCCTCTGGTTTGGGTACCACACTGATTCAAAAAATGTCACTCTGTTCTCAGAGGCCAAAGTCTTGCACCCAGTGAGGAAAACAGCAAGGTCGAGCCTCCCACAATCCTCAAAGATCAATTTCCAAGAGGGTGTGGGTTAACAGCAGAACCCCAGGAATGTGTGGGCTTCTCGAGGTGACTTTTTTGTGGCGGATGGCAGCAGCGAGGGGAAGGACCTAGTCTAGCAAGTCATGGTCACAGGGCAGGTGTGCCAGGCTCTGTCCACATCCGACATGCTGACATGACCAGCCCCAAAGGAGGCCACTCGCCAGAGCCCTCCCCACTGTGGGCACAGTCGAGAACACCAGCCTCCCCCAGGGACCATGCATGGCACCCACAGAGCAGTTTCCACGAGTGAGGCTTGTGAGAGCCTAGCAGTGGGCAGAGAGGACCCCACACCGTCCCACTTGTCAGTTTGCGCTGTTACAGGGTCTGCACAGAGACGGTGCAGCGCCCCCGTCTGTTGGGTGGGAAGGAGTCTCCTCAAGAGGAAATATTTATAATATACTGATTTCACATTTTATAGCAGATAAAGTTAGCCCTCTTCCTAGAATAAAGAGGCAAAGAGGAGAACAGAAGGAGGCCCATCCTTCAAGTCTGACCCCAAAATGACGAATAGGGCCGACGAGGTCTCGGTGGTCCCCTGACCGTAGACTTTGCTGTCACATGAGTCCTGATTCCAGCCCCATCTCTGCCGTTTTCCAGCTGCACTTACGAGTGTCCAGCGAGCCACGGGGAGGTGGCCTGGAACAAAGGCAATGGGCCCCAAGCGCTCATCTTCCTGAGGAGAGGGCCGCCATGCTTCCGACGGCCCGGCATGCAGGACATGCCTGATAAAGGGCAGCGCGGCTTCCCCAGAGGAAAAGAGGGGGCTGCCCGCCACTGGGAAACTTCCGACTGGGTTCTGTGGGTTCACAGTGGGCAAAGGGAGGGAGGCCTGGCAGGCAAGGGCTGAGGCCCCCACTCTGCCTCAACCAGACTGGCTCTGCGCTTACCTGGCTCTGTCCTGGGCTTCTGCCTGATATTATATTTGAGATAATTCCCTGACTCCTAAAAAGAGGTTGACAGTCACCACGCCAGGTAATGCTAGCATCTTCCTGGCAGTGAATGAGATGCGTGTTTAGGATCCGGGTGGGTCACTCTCCCTCCCCGGCCCCTGCGCCCCTCTGCGGCCATCCCCATGGCCCCCGGCCCTGTCCCCGGCACCCTCCCTGAGCCCAAGGCTGCGATGCGCACCTGGTGAAGCGGACCTCGCAGATGTTGCACATGTATGGCTTCTCCCCGGTGTGCGTCCTCATGTGCCGCGGCAGCTTCCCGGCCCCCATGATGACTTTGTGGCAGATGGGGCACTGCTGCGAGGCCTTGGGCTTCAGCTTGCGCTCCTCCACCAGCGGCCAGGGTGGGAAGAGGCCCCCCAGGTGCGTGGCACTCAGGAAGTTGAGATAGGCACCGTAGTCGTTCTCCGCCTTGATGGGGCCCAGTGGCCCCCCGGGCAGGTCAGGGAACATGTCCTTGAAGAAGTCGTTAGGGAAGGGTGGGGGTGGGGGTGGGGGCAGCTCCTCCTTCTCCTCCTCCTTGATCTTCCGGTTCTTGATGACCAGATCCAGTGGCCCACTGTCCATGGGCTGCTCGGGCAGCTGAGCAAAGGCACCGAAGTCCCCTGGCCAGAGGTGTGGAAAGAAGTCCGGGGCGAATGGAGATAAGGAGGGTCTCCTGTCGGGGATGCTGGCTTTGGGGTACAGGTTCTCCCTCAGCAGAGATTCGATGGAGAAGTCCCGGATCACCCCCAGATGGCCAGGACCGCCATCCTGGAAGGAGTCGGGGAAGTCCCTGGGTGTGTCTGAATAGGCCTTCTCCGTGAGATGGTCCGTCTTGGAAGGGCTTTGGTGGCAGTTGATGTCCTGGGGATCAGGCAGGTTTTCCTGGTCTGCAAAGTCTTCCGTGTCATCATCGTCATCCTCCTCCTCCTCTTCCTCCTCCTCCTCATCCTCCTCGTCATCGTCCTCTTCGTCATCGTCGTCGTCCTCCTTATCGTCCTCCTCCCCGCCGTCGCCCCCGGGCTCCATGATCTCCAGGCACACGTTGACGATGCACTGGATCTCCAGCATCCTGGCGGCGTTGAGGATGTGCTTGACGTTGGAGGCAGTGATGGTGAGCGTGGAGGTGTAGGCGAACTCCAGGATGGCGGCCAGCGCCTCGGGCTGCACGAAGTCGATCTCGTAGACGTAGGGCTGGCTGGCTAGGGTGCCGGCTGTGAAGAGCTTCTTGAAGTACTTGCTGCAGGCTGCCAGCACGGAGCGGTGGGTCCGATACTCCTGCTCCTGCACCACCAGGAGCACGTCGCAGAGCAGGCCATCATGCCGCTGCTCGTTGAGGCTGCACAGGACCTCGCTGCTGTGGTCGGGGAAGGGGATGCCGATGAGCTCGTCAATGCCATTGGTC